TAATAATGTTAATATTTTTAAAGTGAAAATTCGGTTTCTTAAATTGATGGCGAACGTACTATGGGGAATGTCTTCTTAAATATTTATATTAAGTGATGCCAAGAGAACCCAAAATAGCATATTTTGCCGCCTACTCCCTTAGGGCTAGCCACCGCCTTCAGCTCTCAATTTCTGAATTTAAACCGTGCCCAAGGGGGTAGGTGATAGGTAGTCTTTTTAAAGAAAGTGTATAAATGACTAATTACCACGGATAGAAAGAGTATTTTTTGTCTACAATACACAGGATGTCCCAAGACAAAATACTCCCATCAATTTCTTGAAAAATAGACTTTGAATAATGTTGAAAATTTCACTGTTTACTAAAGTCTATTAGTGCAATCCGGTTAAAATATTTTTAAAAAGGTGGCCCTTCCGGTTATACTGAAATTGATGTCAACTTGTTTTTTTGTAAAATAGGACACCCACTTTTTTATTTATATAGATTCTTTTTAGAATTCTAGGCAAATTTAATTTATAATATCCTTAAGTCTAACATTTTTTTATAATTTAAATTTTATGTCAAAAATACCAATATCTTTTTTATGAAAGGATTTATTATTTATTATTTAATGATATTTTGGTAATAAACAAATACATGATGATCAAAAAATAAACTAAAATTAAATTGAAAAAAATCCCCAAAAGTTATTTTTTTCAAATGGATACTCCCTGTTCTTATATATTTTTTTAATTAAATTTATTATTCTGAGTTTTCAATCACTATGTCAGGTAAGTTTTTAATCACCATTTATTATCAAAATATCAATAAAGTTCTCTAAAGTAGACTGCCCTTCTAGAAGAAAACCAAAGCAATTTAATAAAAAGGCTTTCATGCAAGAAAAATTGATAGTTACTTGTTAGTAGTCCTACATACGTCATTTCTGGTATCAAATCAAAAATATATCAAAAATTGTTAGACTTTAGCATAGGATAATATACATAAACTGTTTCTGGAATTTTACATGGAATCTAAAAGTAAAATAATTTATAAGATGTCCTATTTAAAATGAGCAGAATGACGTGAACTTCCAGTATAACCGAAAGTGAAATCTTGAAAATATTTTAACCTAATTGCATCCATCGCCAAATTTTTAACAATTTCCAAAAGGTGTTTCGAGAAATCTGCCACAAAAGTTCGTCATGGGACACCCTGTATATTTCCCATTACTGGTTTTGTAAAACTGTATAAATATTAGGGTTCAATATTTTATCAATTACATCTTAGTGTATTTTCTAAAATGTGTAAAAGTATCCTAAAAACTCCAAGCGCTCACTTAGAATTTTGATCGTACCCTTCTGCGCTACTTTACTTTTAAGGTCAATATGTTAATCATATCTGCGAATAACAATATCCAAAAAGGTATTCTTACTAAAATACTCTAAGTATCTTGGGTCTATAATGTGTAAAATTAAAAATATACATCCACACATTAAAAAAATAATGGAATTCATATTCCCTATACATAGATTCATTCCAAGAGAAGCTATTTTGCAACTAAGCAAAACAAGGGATACAGCGCGGATAATTTTTATCATGTAATAAATTTGAATAAAACAAATATTATGTGGCCATGAAAACTTGGCGATAAGTATACGAGCTGCAAATTAAAAACAAATGTTATAGTCTTTCAGACCTCGTCTTGTATAAGGTTTGTCATGTCTCGTGGAAAAAAAATATTGTGTTTGTTACCAAATCTTGAAAATTCTGAAGATCACACAGGTAAGTACATTTTTTATTCTAAAGGACGCAACACACGAAACGTTCTAAACCTACTTTTAAAAAAATTTAAACTCGCGTAACATACCAAAAAAGCTGCTTGTAATAAGATATTTTTAATATATAGACTATTGAGATATACAGGGCACTTTACAGTACTTAATTTTTTTTTTAAATAAAGCACTATACTTTTCGGGTTATCTATTTGATTTGAAGTAAAAACTGTCAAAGGTCGCGTTGTCGAATACTCGCTAATTAAAGAAAAACTATACATATTTTTAACTTACACAGTTTATACTAACTACTTAATAGATTGGATCCAAGCTAAATTTTTACCTATTTTTGAGCTAGTGCAATTTTTTAGGAAATAATTGAAAAAATATGCGGTTACCCCCTTTAACCCCCCATTTTAAATTAGATTTTTTTTTAAATCAATAGACTTCATTCCCTTATATAGCTTGATTTTTTCTAAAAATTTCAAGTTGATATTATGTTACATTTTTGATTTATTATTTTTTTAAATTTTAATCCCACTTAACCCCTTTACTTTTAATCAGATTTTTTTTTATTCATAGAACTTGATTTTTCTTATAAATTTTAAGTTGATATCATGTTTCGTTTTTAATTTATGATTTGTTTAAAGTTTCAAACCCCCTTAAACCCCTCATTTTCAATCAGAATTTTTTAAAAATCAATAGGCTTTGTTCCTTTACAGAGCTTGATTTGTCCTAAAAATTTCAAGTTTATATACATGTTTCGTTTTTATATTATGATTTTTTTTTAAGTTTTAACCCCCTTTTCTTAATCAGATTTTTTTTAAATTAATAAGTTGATATTGATTTTTGTTTGTAATTTATGATTTTTTTTTAAATTTCAAATCCCCCTTAAACCCCGTATTTTTTATCAGATTTTTTCAAAATCAATAGGTAGGCTTCGTCGCCTTACAGAGTTTGATTTTTTTTTAAAATTTCAAGAAGATATGTTTCGTTTTTGACTTATCGTGCTGACAAAAAACGTGACATCGGACAGTCAGACGAACGGACGGACAAAAGTGAACCTATAATACTCTTCACAAACTACTGTGTGAAGAGTATAATAACCGTGTATACGGACTAATAGAGAACTTATCGAAAACAGTAAAAAGCCGGTTGGGCATATTTGTCTAAAATTTATAGGTCAAATATTAGAATATCTTAGAACCTTAACATACTTTTTAATTCCGTTGCTACATTCTCATTTGAAAAATGCAACTTTCCAAAATACAAACTTTGTTGATATTGTTATTGTTTTTGTGTACCCCATATAAATTTCAATGAAAATCTTAGGAGTTTTATTTTAAGCAATATGCATGATGTTTGACTTAATTTAATCAGAAAATTATAAATCAAATTTATGTAAATAGCTCCCTTAAAATTGGAGCGTTGCATTTGAATTTCAGCAGCACTTAGGTGCAAAATTACAACTTGTACTTAAATATCATATTAACTATATGGTTCGTTAATTCCATCGGGCTTATTTTCATGAAGCACCACATTTCTTATGTACGTCAAGTTGTAAGTAATTATATGACAATAACATTATATTCTGCCTCTTTTTTTCTTTCAAAAAAAAGCTTTCCTGTTTTTTAGATTTTATAACTTGATGTTTGGCAGAAAGCCTGATTTAAGATAATTTTATCGGGTTTCCTCACAAAACTTCAAGCAATAAGAACTAAACTATATTAGATTAAAAAAAAAACATACATTTTCCCAGTTTAAAAAATTATAAATTGATCAGCTACATAAAAATATTAGTAGAATTTCTAGAAAATAACCGCTGTGGCATAACTAACGCGCCTCACAATGTTTCATATTTAGATCAAAATTATTTTTAACCCCAAGAGTTTTTCAATTTTAATTTATATTCTTGATAAATGTAACGTTGAAAATTTCGCAAAAAGGTCTGCTTAATTAATTATTTATAGTATTAACAAACAGTAGTAACAAAATTGAACTTAGCCTGTATGTTCGAGACACCCTGTATACTTCTTATTATTCTAATGCCTTTCAACTGCAAGTTTCATAGTATGTATTTGTTCGTTTTAAATAAAAAGATTTTGTTTTGACATTATTTTGTAATTTTTTGTTGTAACAGATTTAGTATTACATGTTAAGTACTTTGATTTTTAAAAATATATTAATTAGAAATAAAGAAATGAAATAAAATGTGTTTTGTTTATATCCTTACATTAACACAAGTAACTATGACAGCGAAATGCAGTTACATTTTATGTTTTTAATACCTGAAATAAATCAAATAAATTATACGCATTATACAAATTTTTAAAATTTTATTTTCTTAAAAGAATTATAATAAATATATTTTAACTCTATCTTAAATATTCACTTTTCGAAGGACGCATACACAACTTGACCTGTAAAAGAAAATAGTTTAGGACAAAGTTTATAGTATATGATGAAAAAATACATAAATTGCCTAACACTATTGTTCACTTGAGAGGAACATAATACCTTATTCTCTAAAAAACAGAAAAACTTAAATTAGGATTAATTGAACATTTTAATTTACAGTGATTGGTCATATACATGCAGTCAAAAATGTCTTACCAAATTTCAACATTGGCTGAAAATGTAGACAGGGTAGCTTATATTGTGGACGTAATATTATATATTATTTAAAAAAAATCCTATAACTAGACCAATGGAAATTAGGAGCTAAAATTCAGCAGAGCTTTTCACCCTTTCATTAGTGAGGTGTGGATGTATGTGCTTTAAAAACACTTTATTTTTAATACGATTTTAAACGGTTTACTTATCTTTATTTTAATTATAGTAAAAGTAGGACCATGGAAATTGTATAACATATAACAGTTCTAACGTAAAACATCAAATTATGACTAAAAATCAAAAATAGCGATGATAGACCTCTTAAAATTAATATTAAGGGCTCAAATTTTCACGAAATTTTTTTTCATCATTCTTAATGATATATATTCTCAATATATCTTTCAAAAAAAATTACTTAAGATTTTTGGCCCAGTCAAATCTATATATAGCTGTTTTTTTGGAAAAGATAAATGTTTTTTGGAAATTTTTGTTAATTAAAAATATATTAAAATCATTTAAAAATTAAATATGTCCGTTTTACTTAAACAAAAGTCAACACAATTAATGAATTAAAAATTCCTTAAAATAAAGCTGTGCTGTACTGAACATAAGAAACAATAAAAAAATACTTACCAGTTTTAGGAACAAACTGCCTTTTCCGTTGTGTATCCTGACCAGCGGCATGGTGTAGAAGATGACCAAACACTTCGCTTTTTACGTTGAGGAATGTTCGTGCAGTAACAGTTTACCAAAAACTCCACTAAAATCCGTGGATTATTGCCAGTTCTTATTCGTAGCACTCTAATTTCGCTTCCGGCCGGGTACGTTCTTTTAAAATCCTTTTTTACGGAAGTCAAAAACACGCAGCCACAGTTATAGAGATTATCGTTCCTACTAAATTCGCCAGTCCATCGATGTGGATTTCGTCCTGTGGTAACCTCCGAAAACAAATTTTCTAGGCGATACCCTGGTGGTGTTGATTCTTCTAAAATGTCTCTAGCTATTTGAATTTCTGCGGCAGTGATGTGTTCGGTGCAAGGGAGTAAATTTATACTCAACCCTTGCATAATCAATAAAGTCACCAACAGCATGATTAGGAGATGCATCCTGGATTTTTTGTATGGTATATAACTCTTATCAATTTTATTTCTTCCCCCTATTGCAGCAATTGGTGGTACTAATAACTGTTGATGTATTCAACAACCAACCATATATATATATATATATATATATATATATATATATATATATATATATATATATATATATATATATATATATAACTACTTTAAATGCATTGTGGCACCTGTTAAGTCTAATGTAGCTGTGGCACCAGTGTTATAATTAACGTCATTAAGGCACCATCTAATTGAAGTAAGTTGTGGCACCAGTATATATATTTCAAGTGGTATTATGGCACCATGCGCTGTTGTCAAGTTTACGTGGTGCTTAAACGTGGCTGAGTATATAATAATTTATACAGTAATTAATACGTTAAGAAGTCAGTAATTATTAGAGCACAGACGTATAAATTCATTTTAGCTAAATAAACAATTTTGATAAATAATCCCGAGGCAGATATATTTTTGATTTTAATTTGCTGTTTTATGCACGTAAAAATTATACAGGGTGCGCCATCTTCGACTGAAGATGTCATCGGTATTTTTACTTTCTTATACTAACATGTACGGTGTGTTCCATAAAGTTGGATCCATATGGGAATTTGTTTAATATTATGACCGGAAAAATACGTTGTAGGGCAATCGCCTCTGCCTATTTATAAACTTAAAATTGTCTTTATCAAAGTTGGCTGATATTAGTTTTTGTCAAGTTCGCATTAAATAAATTGTTTTTATGAAAAATTTGTTAAAAAAATACTCCCAACTTTAATATGGGCTATATTAAGTTTTTAAAAAAGCAGAGTTGAATGTCTTATGACGTTTTTTTTTTCTAATCGTAATGTTAAGAAAATACCCTATGGATCCAACTTTATGGAACATACTGTATATGAGATGTATACCAGCAGTAATAATATAAGAAAGTATTGGAATCCAGAGAATTTTACACTCTGAGATTTTAACTAGTAAATTAGGTTAATAAGAAAATAAATTTTATTATTGTGTTCATACATTGTTTTTATAACAAAGCATCAAGTTACAAATGACGGAAGAAACGAATGTTATACAAATGTGTACTCGTTTACAATTAATGTCTTTATTTGGACGTAATCATTGTTGGTAAATTCATCATGTTTTGAAATATAATCCATGATTTTTAATTTTCAGTTGATTTTTAAAAACAAAATAATGTTAACTGTAGATCTCAGGCATGAAATATTTTTAATATATATGCCAATGAAATATAGCATAATCTATTTAAGTAGCCCTATTTGAAATGAGTGTATTCATGTAAAGAACCTCGAGTAAATCTATAATTTTTGCATATTATTTGTTTTTAAAACTCAACAACTAAAAAAAATGTAAATATACAGGGTGTTCCATTAGTGCGTAATTGTTCAATATTTCAATTTGTGTTATAGACGTGCAAAACAGTTTTATGAATTTAAAAAGTACATATTTTAAAAATATTGTTGGATATACAGGATATTGCATTTTGCCTGGCAAATAAAAATTTATGTTTTTTAGTAGAACAACTTGTATTTTATTTTATTTTTAGAATGGTTTATTAATACTGCATTCAACTCTAGAATGTTTTTAAACAATATTAGTGTTGCCAAGCAATTTTTTTTTTAAATAGAGAATGATGCAGACCACAAATTAAATAATCATAACTTAGGTAGATTTACCTTAATTTTAAAATTGTTAAATATACAGACTTATAAGATACTAAGCTAACGAATAGTGGTGTTACTCGAAATATTTTTGAATATATATTCATTACCAACGAAAATACAAACCACTGCCAAACAGAAATACATATACACACAGAAAATACAAAAAAAATGTTTATACGTTTCATCTAAATTTTTACATTACGGTCCATTTTGGATCAATCATGTAAAAAACAAAAATTTTGACTATAATATCGCAAACATCTTTTATTTGAACAATTTTCTTATAAATTTGAATTTTGCATTTTTTTTGTAAAATCTCTCGAATATGGACCATCTTAGAAAAAATATGTATATTACAAAAATTATAGTGATAAACATTACAAACAACTTTTATTTTAAGAATTTTCTTCTCTTATCGTAAATAACAGATATATTTTATAAAGTAGAAAAACGGCCCTCTATAAAGTAGCCCAGATATTTCGACTATGCCTTATATCTATTCACCACAGGATGGATTAAGGCTTAAATTTATAATTTGGTGTTTTTTCTTCACTCGTTTTTAAGTGTTCAAAATTCGAAATTTGCATTTTAGAAAAAATATGTACGGAATCAGCATTATAGAGGATAATAGTTTTTATAAAAACAATTTTTTTTAAAATTCGAATTTTGAACTTTTTGTCAAATTTCTGGAATACGGACCATTTTAGAAAAATCATGTGTGGGACAAAAATTATAGAGAATATTATTACAAGCAACTTTTAGTTGTAGAAATTTCTATTCCAAGCGTAAATAACAGATATATTCCAAAAAATAGGAAATGACCTCCCATCAAGTACGTCAAAATCTATATTTGAGCAGCAGTAGCAGGATGGTTTATACGTCACATCGTCATTCTTCCTGTTCAAAATCATAATGATGTACCAAAGCGGCTAATTCTACTAATCACCTCGAACGAGAAACCATCGTGTAACAAAACTGAAATTAAAAGTTCAGAATTGCACATGCGAATTGATTATTTATTATAAGTCATCACAATATCACTCATCACCCCGCGATCACATATCGAGCAGATTCCTATTTACGTTTGTATTGTTTATTGTTTTACGCTTGAAATATTTGCCACTGAAGATAGAATTCACGAGAAAACAGTAACACAAAAATGCGATATTAGACAAAGCGTTGTTGCCACATTGATTTTTCAACAGTAGTAGTAATATGGTGCCTCAACAGCGAATAAGTATATGCCTTTGTAGGTGTTTAATCGTGGTAGTTAGAGTGGTGCCTCAAAAGCGAATAAGTATAAAATACAAGTTGGTGTATAACAAGGAGCGCGCTCCAGTTATAAACAGTGAGAACTAAATCCTATATAAGTATATGTTCAGCGACTTTGAAGCACCAATACGAAAATTCGCGTACAGACCCCAGATAATATTCTAATAGCATTTAGTAGGGTCTGGCCCTCATAACGTTCTGGCACCAATATGTGGTGCCACAACGAAATTTTTGGTGCCTCAACGTACGGCAAGTCTATAAATTGGTGCCACAATGAATAAATGTATATATATATATATATATATATATATATATATATATATATATATACATAAAAAACCGAACCCGATTCGATTTGTTCGGTCCGGTCCGTAAAAGCCAACCAAAGATGACGTTGCCAAACATGCCAAACAAAACGGATCTCGTTATTCAAATATACATAAATATATATATACACAGTAGAGGCGCCCCCTGGTTTGATGTTGCTGAACTTAAGTTGTATAAAAAGCAACAAAACAGTAAAACATGAGATCCAATCAAATTTCGTAATAATTTATCTGACATCATCCCCCTATCTAGCAGCGACGTAATACAAATAAACCAAATTTAACTTTTTTATGATATGAAAGGACGTTTTTTGTCTCTAGATCAGTTAAATTATTAACTAAAAAAAGTAATAAAATAATGGGAATTGGACGAGTACTTCCTTGGTATAAAAGTTGCATGTTGAAACTTACGTCATATGATATCTCCACAGAAAAAAATTGACAAACCTTGGAGTTGACTAACATTGGAAAAAATTATAGACTAGGAACAATAATTTAACCGAAAAGTATGTGATCATCTTACTCACTTTTAACCTAATTATAATTGTAATATTTGTAGGAAGGATTCAAATACTCGTCCATTTAATTTACCTAAATTACTTATTGTTTAACTAGTGAAAACATACTACATACTAATAAGTTGATTTTTACCCTAAGCCTTAGTGATTGAATTTCTAATGTCGTAAAAAAACTACTTTTCATAATTTAATTAATATCTTACTTTTCTCCACTTTCCAACAGACTGTTATCATTTCTGAACAATTCGTGGCTATTATTTCCTTTTTCACCATTGCTCGATCTAAAAATATAAAAAGAATATATATTTCCTGTAGCAATTTGTTCATATTTAACTTACAGGCTTCCATCTTGAGAGTCATGATGTAAAGCTGTATCCGCTAAGGTGGCCGGCATTTCGGCAATGTCAAAATTGCTTTCATTTTACCTACTAAAATCAATCAAGATATTTTTTTTTATTTTACTTCAATACCTATTTCTTAATTTTATAAAATGTCAAAAACTTGATAGAACGTGATTAGATTAACCAAATATCACTGGACTATCGTTTGCCATTAATTAATAATACAAAGAAAACGCATCAAATTTTAATTTTCTTAACACCCTGTATTTCGAAAACAAAGCGACATTCTAAAAAATGTTTAGTACATTTTTGTCTTAAAATTAGGTGAGAATTCTCCTCCTTTCTTTTGTCAGAGATTAGAAAACACCCTGTATATAAGAAGTTAAGTATAGGATGTATAAAAATACATTATAAAATTAATTAAAAATATACAGGATTTTCTCTAAAACGATACCAGAACAAAGTTATGTTTTTTTTAATTGATATTTTTAAAATTAAAATTTCAACTAATAATATTATAATAGGAATTTATAATTAAATATTTTTTTGAAATTTTCTATTAAAAACACCGATCCGGGTAGATTGTTTTCAAGAAATTACTGGGAATTTTTAATAAACCGTTTTATTGCATTGTAAGTAATACTTTATCTGTGCGTGGAAATACCAATCCAATAACAATTATACCAATCCAATAACAATTATACCAATCCAATAACAATTATACCAATCCAATAACAATTATACCAATCCAAAAATAATTACGTTAATGGGCTTAATCTCTTAAGACTTAACCCAATGACACGTGACAGCGGTAAATTGTTTGAATCTAAGAAACGTTTCCTGAAGTAATTAGGCATGTATTTTGTGTTTTAGGTTTTAAATATTATAAAAAATGATGGAAAGTCCATATCTTTTAAATCATTCTAAAATATACCTTTTTAAAAAAATTATGCATTCAAAGTAAAACAAATGATGGACTTTTCATCATTCTTTATAATATTTAGAACCTAAAACGCTTAATAAAGTCTTTTATTTTTTGCTTAATTACTTCAGGAAACGTTTGTTAGATTTAAAAATGTACCGCTGTCACTTGTCTTGAATTAAGTGTTACGAAGGTAAAAACCCGGTGTATGCCAACCCGCAAAAACTAATTTACAAGAATTTACAAGAAGTGACGCTTAAAAACAAATCTAAAAACTCAAAAGGTCTTTATTTCAAATATATCTCCATATTCTGTTAACACAATTTCTAATTTGCACAGCATAGTAATACATTTTTTTTTTTTTCGAAAATATGCAATATTTTCTCAAATTTTCTGAACTTTAGTGAAATATGCAATATTTTCTGAACTTTGGTAAAATATGCAAAAAATGCATATATATGCATTCTGTATATATTCCGCTCTTTATTTATTAGCAATGACATGACATTTTTTTAAATCATTATAACCATATCACGGGGGCTGATAAACACCGAAACACCAAATATGTTAATTTTCGAAAAGTTTGTACGGCAATTTAATTAAAAGTAATATATAGGGTGGGCCCCCAGGAATTGCATCGATCGATATCTCAGTAACTAGATGTAGGAAAAATGTCAAAATTTGGACACTTGCTAGTTGTCTTGGGTCCTATTTAGCTAAAATGTTTGAATGTATTGGGCACCATCGGTTGTACCGCAAATATGCTTCTTTCTCTTCGCACTTACAAAAAGTCCTGTTTTTTTACTTATTCTGAGATCTCTTTCCATATTTTGCTTGTCTTTTTCACTAATTAACACTACAACAATCACCATAACAACAATAAAAAACTACCTTCACTTGTGTCTCAAATGCCGTACGTAGATGTACTAAACAACAGCGAACTGAGAGTACATTGTGAGTACATTCAAAACAAGTCGATACTTGAATGGGACACGTGTGTATCTAGGGAGGGGGTACATATGACTTACGCAAAATCGCAGCCTAATTTCTTCTTTCTCATGTGTATTAATTGGGAGAACTCAAATGGTATATTTCAAGTAGCAAGCCAAGTCTGCATTTCAACTAAACGCTATTAACTATTCTAAAAATATCTCGATTTTTGTGATAAAACAATAGGCAAAAATACAATTTGAACGAATTCCACAATAATTACATAAAATCAATTTTGTTTTAGCATCACAAAATAGTATAAAAGGCAATTTCTTTATTAAAAACTAGAATAACTATTTACTATTTATAAATCTGAACTCCGGTCCTGCAACGCCAGCGTGTGTAAAGAAAGACAAGGAGGAACACAACAGAAGCGAAATGAATGATTGATGCCGGTTAAATTTAAATTTTATGCAGAGGTCGACAATTAATCTAGTATTTTTCTTAAATTTCGACTAATTATGACAAATTTTGTACCAAATAAAAGATAAAGAATAGACTTTACCTCGGGTAATAATAGATTTTTTAATTTTGTCTTAGTTTGTCCTGGATGCATTTTTAAATCTTAACAAAGAAAACCATTTAATTGGAAAATTTCAGACTCGTTTAAGATACCTAAAAAATTCTAATCTAATTTTTTATTACTACTCAAGGAAAGACCTGACCTTTTGCATATTGGAGGTTTTTAATTGACAATGATATCTTATACAGTTTTCGAGAAAACAGATTAATCAGGCACCTATGCAGGATAGGGCGATTAACTAAGCGGTAGCCGACTCTTGATTATTGTTAAGGAAAACCAACATATTAACAGTGTTTCCTTTTAAACAGCTTCTTTTAGCTGAAACTATATTTCCTGCATCAGAGAATACTCTCTCTGATGGTGTTGAAGTGGCTGGTATGGCAAGATATTTCCGAGCTAACTGACTCAAAAGAGGAAATCTACATTCGTTTGTTTTCCACCACTCTAGTGGCGATGAATTTTTATCTATTTGATTCTCCTTAGAATATATTTCTATTTCTCTTTCTACTGGATCTTGTAACTCAATAGTATTGTCCTGCTTTTTTGTCGGAAAAAGAAAATCTATGGCAGTTTGTGAAAGTGATGGGGAAGTAATTAATTTATCCTGATAATCAATAGTAATGGTACCTTGTGACAAGAGCTGTTTAACTGTAAACTTAGTTTTTACAATAATTCCGAAACTACTTTCATGCATTTTATAACGGGGATCTAAAAAAATTGCAATGTCTTGCAATTTTACTGCCTTGGTCTGGCACACCTCTAGGGTTTCCTTTAGATCAAATCTTGATTTCAGCTGCTCAGAAACGATTTCTTTAAATGTACTTATTTCATCCAAGTCAAAATTGTCATTAGGATTTAAAAAATTATCTAATAAGGATTGTACAATTGGCAAGACTATTGAAATTGTTGGTGAGTTTTCTGAGCTCATAATCGCTGTAGTTAATGTAAATGGTTTTAAAATAGCTACTAACGCTTCTAACAAATCCCAGTCTGATTCATTTAATTCAAAACTGAGGGCTTGTGACCTGGAGGTTATACTACGATTTTGAAGTACGTTTATAACTGCTTGTCTTTGTTCCACTATTCGTTCCACCATGTAATAAACGGAATTCCATCTCGTTTTGACATGTTGAATCAGTTTATGGTTTGGCAATCCTGTATGAGTTTGAGCATCTTTAAGAGCACTTGTAGCCACATTAGAATGCTTAAAGTGTCCTACGATAGCAGAACATTTCATAAGAAGCTGCTGAATATTTTCAATAGCAAGGCCTTTATTTATACACAGTTGCAGAGTATGAGCAAAGCAACAAACACTTTCTCTAACCTCTGTTGATTATTTTATGGCACTAACAATATTCACAGCATTATCATGAACAACAGCACAAACTTTTCCAGAAAGATTCCATGTACTGATGATTTCTTCCATTTTCCTTCTTAAATTTTCACCAGTGTGTCTGTCTTCCATTACTTCTGTAGTGAGTGTGTAATTGACATGCTTCCATTCTGCTGAAATTGCGTACATGGTTACAGTAATATACGATTCATTATTTCTGGAAGACCAGCAGTCCGTGGTAAGAGAAACCCAATCAAATTTTCCTACTTCACTTATAATTTTTTGTTTTTCGACATCGTAAATTACTGAAATTCTATTCTTTATGGTATTTCGACATGGAATTTTATATGATGGTATTGTCTTCTTGATAAATTCAATGAATCCTACGCCTTCTACGAATGAGAGAGGTAACATATCCTTAATTATCATGTTCACTATAGCATTAGTGGTCGTTTCTTGCTTTTTCAGAGCAGTTCCTTTTGGCAGAAAGATTTGATCGATTTGTGTTACTGAGCTAGAGGTTGAAGTACTCTCACAAAGAGATATGGATGTAAGGTCGTTGTTAGTTTCTATAAATTCAGTTTCTGATGCTAATGAAATGTGTGACGATTCCGATTCCGACAAACAATGACCAGCAACGTCTATTTCTTGAGAATGAAAATGGGAAGGTCCCGGTTGTGAACTGGCTGCATCTGACAGGGGCTTTCTATAAAAAAAATGTTCATAGTGACAATGAATTGTATCTTGGCCTTTAAAACGCTTTAGGAGCGTTCTCGTTAATGAATTTTTTTAGAAAATTTGGTAGAAATCAGTAAGTTAGGCTAAAATATAACCTAAGAAGTCAGGATGAATCAGAATTTAATTATCATTCTTAGTTCGAAAATTATCAATCCTATGAAAACTCCATCGAGTCGAGTCACGCCGACTGTTTCATAGCAAACGTTTTTTTTCTTATTCATGAACTAAGCAAGATAACCGATACCAACCAAATTTAATCCAAACTAACCAAAACTAACTCAAAACGAACTAAAACGAACTAAAACTAACTCAAACTAACTAAAACGAATCCAAACTAATAACAAATAATCCAAGCTGATCCAAAAGACATATCTGCGTAGGTAAAAAAAGGCAAGCGTAAACAAAGCATTAGTCACGACCATTTATAATAATTTTTGACAGCTGAAAGGTATTTAAAAGTTCCAATATAGTCGAATTAAATAATAATAAATTTGTATAAAAAACCATTTTTAAAACAAGCTTTTATTAAACTATGCACTAAAATAGAAGAAAAATGAAGTATTTTTACAATTAAGAAGAAACATGCATAATAAAAGCTTGTTTTTAAAAATCTCTTCTATATAAATTTATTTTATTCTTTTTAGATGCTGTTATTTTATATAATTTTTTTACTAATTTTAAACTGAAACATTGAAAAGTCCGCCATCTTTTTTAAGCTTTAGTTAAAAATCGTATTTAGCGTCCTTAAACATCCCCAAGTACCAAGTTTGAGACCAATGGGTTCATAAAAGGGAAAGTCCACCATTTTGATTTTGTTAATATGCCATCTTGATTTTTTCAGTTTTGAGTAAAAAATCATGTATAGCGACCTTAAACACCTCTCAGTTCCAAGTTTGAGAATAATCGGCTCATAAATGGGAAATTTCGCCATTTTGAATCCGCCATTTTGATTTTTTATGTTTGAAACAAATCGGTTAAAAAATAAGAAAGCCCGCCATTTAGAATTTTTTGTCCTGAAAAAAGTATTAAATTGTACTGTCAGTAGACTAGAACCCTATGCACCCATCTATGCACCTACCAAATTGCAAGTCTAGCTTAAAGAACAACAAAATTCGCAAACTTGTATCCGCTATTTTGATCTTTAAAAATTCAAAGCAAAAAAAAAATGTACATAGCTTAGTAATAAAAAAAAATTGTTTTACTTTTACTTACTTCTGTATACTATGCTGACTTAATTTTCCAGATTTTGCTGCAATATGTCGATTTTTTAGGTGATTCCACATATTAGAGGTTCCGTTTGTATATTTTAATTTACATTTGCACAACGAACATATTACGTGCAATTTGTTTTCAGCTTTTTTAAAATATTTCCAACAGTCACTCATTTTGTTAATTTTGTTTTGACACAATACTTGTATGGCTTATAGTAAGTAAGTATAGCATACGTGCTTTATTTGCTCAGAGCTGTCTTGCCTTACTTGAATTTCTAGATTATTAGGTAGTTAGGTATAGTTGTATTAAACAATAAGTCAACTATAAAGGAATAACGCAAATGCAGAAAAAGTTCGGCATCTGTTTAAATAATTCGAAAAAAAATTGGTGTAGGGAATGGGTTGTTTATCGGAAGTCAGCTAAACTAACTCTTTGATAGACCGCCCATAGACGGAGATATATGTTTTTACTTGAAATTATATTTAATAATTTAATTATATGTTCGTAAGTATATGTTTCTTTTGATTTGGTATACTGCCTCTGTAAGTATATTGTTTTTGGCGGTGTATCGCCTTAAGCCTTGGTTTCTTTGAACACTCCGTCGCGGTGAGCGGACAGTCCGTCGACCGCTGAGGACAGCAATTTTCGCCCGAGGTGGTTTGTTAAAAAATATAGAAAATGATACTTTCTCTATGTCTGTACGTGCTGTTTATGTATTATGAATGTAAACGAAAGGTACTAAAATGGTTGCAAATAAATTGTTTGCGTTGTTATTATTGTTGGAAAAGGAAGAACAAGAGGAACTGGCAATTGCAATCGTCAAAGTTTCCAATAAGCCAGTGAATGAGTTGTTTTTCTGTTGCGATGCAGAAGGTGCCTTTAATATCACTGTGCAGCGGAGGCTTTTTGGAAATGAAACCAAATTTAGGGAGTATTTTAGACTTTCTACAGATCTTTTCGAATTCGTGTTGAGTTTTATAAAGGACATAATTTCCAAGAAACCTAAAAATAATGTCATGATGTCATCTGTATGTGTGAATTTGTCACTCATTGTTTTAAAATTAATAACTATATAGTCTCCGCACACGCAGACGATTCCGCTGATATCAAACTCAACAGATATTAACCGACTCTTCGCGACAAATCAGCGGCATGACGCCGTCCTGTTCAGCTAAGCGGATTCAAGAAAACCAATCCCATTTAAATACTCTGGTTGGATAAAATCGTCAAAACGCGACGGTTGACGGACTGTCCGCTCACCGCGACGAAGTGTTCAAAGAAACCAAGGCTTTTGACGACTATTGTGTTTGTCGGCATATTGTCTTTGTCGGCATATTGTCTTTGTCCGTTTAAAAAGTATTGCAACTTTTTTTAACCGATGCCGAAAAGGAAATTTAAACGTATGTGAATAAAAATAATTATTTTTACTTTCAGTGGAGTTTTGTTCACCTTAGTGACCTGTTGAGTTTTGTACGGTTAACAGCTCCTGCATCGTACTTCTTAAAATTTTGTAGATTATTAGTTTTTGTTTTATTAGTGTTTAGTTTCGTTTTATCAATAATTAGTTTGTGTTTTGGAGGTTAGTAACTTTAACTTTTTTTATTCGTTTATATTTTTGTGTATGTGTTATTAACTATGTGAAGACCGTGGGATAGTATTCCGAGAACCAGTACATCAAACAGTGATGCTGAAACTGATGCAGTGCCTGCTCAAATAAAAAATAAACTCTTCTTAAATGAACAGTCTCAACAAATTTGTTTAAATGTTTATAAAAATTTGGTAAAACGCGGGTATATCGAAAACACTTCTACTGTTCAAGAAGCAGCGTTTCTTACTGGTATATCGGTTTATAAAATAAACCAAATTATAAAAAATGGAATTTCCAGCAGAAAAGTCCGTGAAGACAAAGGTGTGAAAAAAAAATTAGATCCAGCCATGGCCAAATCCATTGTGAATACAGTGTATGAACTTTATAGACAAAATACCATTCCCATTCTTGATATTATACATAAACGTTTAAGTGAAACTAATTTCGATACAAATATAAAAAGGTCTACATTGTACAATTGGCTTAAAAAAATCGGTTTTAAATACAAAACGATAGATAAAAGAAGCGCTGTTATGGAAACAAGACGAATAGTAAACTGGAGAAATTCTTATTCTTGAATATAAAAATGAAAGCAGGCCAATTTATTTTCTGGATGAAACTTGGTATGATTCGCATGATACTGCAAAAAAGGGCTGGACAAACGATAATATATATTGCCAAACCTTAGGTATCCCTTCAAATAAAGGCACTCGATTGATTATATTAAACTGTGGCTCAGAAGACGATTGGGTTGACAATGCCTTACTATTACTTACTATTACTATTAATTGGAAAAAATTGATAGCTGCCAGATTAACTACCATTCAAATATGAATTTCGATATTTTTGAAGAATGGTTTACGAATTCACCATTGCCTAATTTAAAGCCAAAAAGTGTAATAGTTTTGGACAATGCTTCGTATCACTCCAGGCTTAAGGAACAGATACCTAATAAAAACTCTAGGAAGGATGAAATTCAAGAATTTTTAATGAATCACGATTTATATTTTGATAAAAACTATAAAAAAGATGAAGTCCTAAAAACTAATGATTTTGAAAAAAGTATATAGTTGATGAAATTGCAGCTGAAAGGGGTCATACAGTTTTAAGGTTGCCACCATATTTTTGTATTTTCAATCCTATAGAGTTACTCTGGAGCCAATTAAAACAAAATATTCGGTGAAAAAATATATTTCCCAAATTTGATTCTCAGGTCGTCAACTTGGTCAAAGAACAAATGGATGCGATCGGCAAATCACAGTGGGAAGCATTTATAAAACATGTCGTGTGTAAAATAGAAGAGGAATACAGGAACAACAGCGGCATACACATAAATAATGGAGAACGATTTATCATAAATCTCAATGAGGATGACGACGACGATGATATAATTAGTGATAACGAGGAGAAGGAAGCCGAGGAGCAGGAAGTTGGAAACAATGAAGAAATCTGAGTTAAATAAGTAAGTCACATTTTTATTATGTAAGTAGGTACTTAGTTCAGATAATTTGTACATTTACATTGTAATTTTAAAATATTTTTTTATAACTAAATTAATAAAATGTTGACGTTCGTATTCGTTTACCAATCGAAAACATGATGTCACTTGGGAAGTAACCCAACCAGTAGAGATATGTTTGCGCTATAACTAATTAAGTCAATTATTTCCTACCTACTTATATCTATAAGACGGTATGTCATGCAAAATTGATATAAAATTAGAAACCTTTATTTCGAAAGAATTGGAAATGCACTAATTAAAATATTATTAATTCTAGAGGCGGCATTTTATTTGTCTGAAAAAAAATATATATCGTTAGTCGATAATTTCAATAGACACCTCGCAGTTGGTATATATTTATATCAATTTTTAATTGTGTACCATATACTTGCAACGCAGTACCTATATCTACTTGTAGGTATATTGTTCATAATCGAATCCTCAAATTGATTGATTATTCTTTTTTTCGCGTTGTAAAATTATTACATCTATTTTATATAATAAATCGTAGAAATTGAAATATGTGGTAATAAGTAATGTTTATTTTAAATGAAAATACTCCAACCAATTAAATTAAATAATAAACTGACACAACGACGCGACGACACTGGCTTCTACTTACTTTGCCGACACTTTGAGTACAATGCCGCGCGACGCGATAATCCTGTCTGTCCACATAGCTTATCGGTTCATTTCAGCGACATAGAGGGAAATAATAAACTGGACTACTATATTCCCATACAGAGTTTAATTATTAATTTTTAGTATTATAATGAGTGTATTACTATCGTCCAGGGACATAATAAAGACATACTCCTGGTAGTGACTCCTTTTTTCAAGTATTCATACATATTACATATTATTTAGTGAATTTTTTTGAAGCATCTTCAAACGGAAGCCGAACTTTTTCTTCCATTATCGGTATTACTTTTGTAGTTGACTTATTGTTTGTATGGACACTATGGACTATACTCTACCGTTTTTCGCGTTGCAAGACGCTTCGAAGCGATCTATTTCTGTGGTGTCAACTAGTGCTGGCAAAAATATCGATATATAGACATATCAATATTCGATATTAAATTTTAAAAATATCTATATAAATATTTCAATATATCGACATATTGATATTTCGGCTCTAAAGCAGAGTTAGAATACGCTGCAACGCATAAAAACAAAAACGGCTCTATATAGGTGTAGTAAGTAGTCTAGTAACTAGTAACAGTGAAAAAGGCACGGATCGTGCCTATTACGCAGCACTGCACACTTGCGTCAAAACTTATGCTTGTGATCGATTTCGACCAATAACAGTAAGTAATTCGTAAGTATTGTAGGACATGCAGTGTTGCCGATTAAAAAATTAAAGAAAATTGTTGCTAATTAGCCGATAACCGGAATTTAGTTCTTGAAACCGAATGCGGAAAACCGGTTTTGAAAACCGAAACCGGTTTTCGGTTTTAAAAATCTAAAGAAGAAAACCGATTTTAAAAACCGAAAACCGATTAACCGGTTTCAGTCAAAACCGCGGTTAACAGAAAACCGGTTAACCGAAAACCGATTTTAAAAACCGAAAACCGATTAACCGGTTAATCGGTTTCAGTCAAAACCGCGGTTAACCGAAAACCGGTTAACCGAAAACCGGGAGATAGTGTTAAGGTTTATTCGGAAATTATCAAATAATTTGTCCCTAGAGGACCTTACGCTTAAACTCGCCATTCTATTAGCTTTGGCTACGGGACAACGAGTTCAAACATTAGCCAGTATTGAATTAAATGGTATTATAATAAATAATGCACATATTATTATAAAAATTAGCAAGCTAATAAAAACATCTGGCCCGAACAAACCTCAACCTACTCTTCAACTCCCATATTTTGAGCACGAGAAAAGTCTCTGTGTCGCCACTACTCTGTCGGAATATTTAGAAAGGACGGCACATTTAAGAGGTCAATCTTGTAATAATTTATTTATTACATATAAAAGACCGCATCATAACGCTTCAGTCCAAACCATTAGCCGTTGGATAAAAACAATGCTGAATAAAAGTGGAATTGATACATCCATATTTTCATCACACAGTACCAGAC